TATCTTTTTGAACTTCTCTAGGTTTCTATCTTCGTAACTCTTTCTGTCAAGTTCTAAATTTTAAAATTTAAAAAATAAAAACTACTTCAGCTTAATATTTTTATGTTTCACTGGATAGCTTAAAAACATTTTTATTGACTATGTGTGTTTTTGTTTTAAATATATATACACGGGTAACCCTTGACACAGGTTTGAACTATGTGGGCCTACTTATATGTGGATTTTTTTCAGTTAACATAGTGCAGTACTGTAAATGTATTTTCCTTAAGATTTTCTTAATACATTCTTTTCTCTAGCTTACTGTATTGTAAGAATGAGGTATATAATACATATAACATATAAAATATGTATTAATGGACTGTTTATGTTATCAGTAAGGCTTCTGGTCAAAAACAGGCTATTAGTAAAGTTTTTTGGCTATTAGTAAAGTCAGAAGTTATATGTGGATTTTTAACTCTGCGGGGGTTGGGACTCCTAGCCCCTGCATTGTTCCAGGGTCAACTGCACATTATTTCAGTTACGTTACGGTTCACTTAGAGTTTTATAGAAGAGCCTGGAATCCTCTAATACTGTTTCCATGGGAAATATGTTCATCCTACAGATAAACTTTTGAAACTCATCTGCCTATAAATTGAGACTACCTTTTATAAGAGAGTGCCCCTTAGGTGATAAAATAAACAATTTTAAGATTATTTGTAGTGTTCTCTTTTTCATGTTATGTCCTGTTCTATTCTTAACAATAATTGAGAATTAGTTTAATTTAAAGCCAATATTTTTCATCCTATTTTATAATTGTGTTGGGTACATGAAAGGTTCTAATTTGGATAAGGTCTGTATAAACAGTGAACATCCCCTGATGCAGTACAGTAAATGGCTTCAGAATGCCCCATCATACCCTGTTCTCTGTAGCTTTTTAGCTTTCAGATGTCTCTCAGGTGTTAAAGTATTAAGCCCTCAGAAGGTACTATCATTTAAATAGTCAAGACCAACTGTCCTATCACATATTTTTAACTTTCTTATTATAAATATTCATGATAGAAGAAGTCCGGTTTCTTAACTCAGAAAGGGAACTCTTGAGATTTACTAAAAGGCACAGTCACTTATTTGCAATGTTTTTAAAAGTCAGTACTTTTTCCTTTTACTCTCTCTCCTCATCCCTGTCTAAAGTACCTGTTTATTGGGCGCCTGGGTGGCTCAGTTGGCTAAGCGACTGCCTTCGGCTCAGGTCATGGTCCTGGAGTCCCAGGATCGAGTCCCGCATCGGGCTCCCTGCTCAGCAGGGAGTCTGCTTCTCCCTCTGACCCTCCCCCCCCCATGCTCGCTCTCTCTCTCTCTCTCATTCTTTCTCTCAAATAAATAAATAAATAAAATATTTAAAGTACCTGTTTATTTACTTATTTTATTGAGGTACAGTTCACATAACATAAAATTAACCATTTAAAATGGACAATTCTGTGGCATTTAGTACATCGGTAACCACCACCTCTATCTAGTTGTAAGACACTTTCATCATCCCCAAATAAACCCTGTACCTATCAAGCAGTTATTCCCCAATTTTTTCTCCCCTCAGCCTCAGGGTGCCATTTTAAAATTTGAAATTGAGAAATTAAAAAATTAAACTTTTTGAGGTAATTGAGATATTATAAGCCTAGATATAGAGTACACTATTCTAAATTCAATAACATGCAGAAATGCATTTAATATACTGACAGTGGAGGGACGCCTGAGTGGCTCAGTCGATTAAAGCATCTGCCTTCGGCTCAGGTCACGATCTTGGGATCCAGGGATTAAGTCCTGCATCTAGCTGCATTGGGCTCTCTCTGCTCAGTGAGGAATCTGCTTCTCCCTCTCTCTCTGTCCCCCACTAGTGCTTGCTCTCTCTCTTTCTCTCTCAAATAAATACAATCTTTTAAAAAATAATATATTGACAGTGGAGAAGTTAGATCATGAAATTGTATGTGCTGTGTGTATATTTCCAACTATAAGGGGGAACAAAGGAATGCTTGGTAGAAAACACATGAAAGTAACAGTGATTTTGCTCTAGATTTTCTTTTTCTCATTTAAAGGAGGAAAAAATCTTCCATAATTAAAATGAAAACAAACTCTAGATGTCAAAAACTTGGGCCTAAACTTACTATTGTAACATAATTATTTATTTCAGGTTAATATTAAACTTCAACAGCTTTTTTTCCCAGATTGAGTTATGGTGTTTCTTAGTATTTACTAAGAGAAAAAGAGATTTGCTGGAGGAACAAAACAGTACTATTCTTAGTTTTTCAGTCCTCCAAATTATATCTCAAACCATGAATACCTATTTCAAGTAAGCTGTGTTCTAATTTATTTTTCTTTAAAAAATATACTTTATAGAACTTTCTTTTCAAACTATAAAAACAGTTTTAAAAATTTTTTAATTCTATTCAGTTAATTCAATTAATTAACATACAATGTATTATTGGTTTCAGAGGTAGAGATCAGTGATTCATAATCTTATACCCAATGCTCATTACATCACGTGCCCTCCTTAATGTCCATCACCCGCAACCCTCAGTTTGTTTCCTTTTTTTTTTTTAAAGATTTTATTTATTTATTCATGAGAGACGGAGAGAGAGAGAGAGAAGCAGAGGGAGAAGCAGGGTTCCAAGGAGCAGGGAGCCCGATGCGGGACTCGATCCCAGGACCCTGGGATCATGACCTGAGCTGAAGGCAGACGTTTAACCATCTGAGCCACCCAGGCGCCCCTCAGTTTGTTTCCTATGATTAAGAGTCCCTTAGGGTTTTGTCTCCCTGTGATTTTGTCTTGTTGTATTTTTCCCTCCCTTCCCCTATGCGCCTCTGTAAAAACATCATATTCTTATTGATACATATCAAAAGCACAGGGGTGTACAAATAAAAAGCCAACAGTCTCCTCTCACATATGGTCTTTTCGTGTACCTGCCTGTAATAATTGTTGTTAGCAGTTTGACAGGTATTCTTGGCCTTTTGGTCATGTAGCTTACATGCACATATAATAAAATTGGACCCAAATGATTAAAAAACTCAAACGCCTTCATGAAGGATGGCCCTGGCGGTTAATGTAAATGTGTGAATGCACTAAGGAAAGGTAGGACCCTTGCTTGCCAGAAGGGAATTTTACCACGCAGTTTTCATATTCAAAAATAGTTAGGGCCCTGTGTTGGTCAGACAAGTAGAATCCCTTGGGCAGTGTATCATCGTGCTTTCCTATTCTTCCTTGCCCACCTCTTTCTTCCCTCCCATACAAATACAGAATGAACGTATGTCAGAGACTTATTTAACTCATTAATGAGGAAACCAGCAGGATGGTAAAGCTGATTCTAGAAACATTTGAGGAATTGAGTGTATGCAGGTATTAAAGAAAGAACATTGAAATAAATTGCTAAACTCAATATAAAATTAGTTAATGTCCTACTGGGTGGTAAAACCATTACCTTTGGAGCATGTTGGACAGATACTGTCTCTACCAAATAAAAATCTCTAAGTTTAGGGTTCCTGGGTGGCTCAGTTGGTTAAGCGACTGCCTTCGGCTCAGGTCATGATCCTGGAGTCCCGGGATCGAGTCCCGCATCGGGCTTCCTGCTCAGCAGGGAGTCTGCCTCTCCCTCTGACCTTCTTCCCTCTCATGCTCTCTCTCTACCATTCTCTCTCTCTCTCAATAAATAAATAAAAATCTTTAAAAAAAATCTATAAGCTTACCTGTAACTTCATAGAATCTGGGTCCTAATCAAAAGTAAACAGCAGATCAAGCTATTATTAATAAAATATCTTTGGGAGGACCTATTAAACAATGTTTCATTATACATTGAAAGGGCTTACAGTTCTTGATGAATCTTTTTTCCAGTTTTGGTTAATTTTTCTTAACAGGGAGAAAGGCCTGTTGTGATGTATAAGGCAAGAGCAGTACAGTAGGGACCAGAACTTGGAAGAGCTTGGTGTCTTAAACTAGGAAATTTGAACTTTCAACAAGTGTTTACTGAGCACATACTATGTGCCAGGTGGTGAATTTATTGTACTCCTGAGTGTGTGGTTGTGCTTTGGTGCCCCTCCCATACCCCTAGGATGTGGACTTGTGGTTCTCAGGGGGTTGTATTAGGTAGTCACCTGGGAAGCTACTTTTCTCAAAACACCCATTGTCTTTGTCCTCTGTCCCGACCCCAATGTAGATATAGAACATACGCATTTTGAAATAGCTTTCCAGGTGATTTTTATGCCC